AGTCTTATCTTAATACAAACTGAAGTCTTCTCTCATTCTAGGACTCTTGTCCCTCATCCAGGTTGAGTTCCCTTTTCATTTTAGTACTCTTGTCCTTTATCCACTTATCTCGAATTCCGATATCTTTGGAGATAACCTCGGCCTTGCCGAGATCACCTCGGTGTCACGACCAGGACACGTGGCACCTCGGCTGACACGTCGTCGTCACCTTGCTACGTGTTGGTACTCAGAAAATATATCCCCACAATTTAAAAACACAAAATACTCTTCACACACTGTCATTCCTATAGAGTTTCGGATTTTAACATATAAATATTGTATTTATTCATCATCTTCACCATTAACATATACTTATGATATCATTCATTATCAATTAACTCAATTTATTCTTTTCTCCATTATACTTATTTTTTTAACTCAAAACATTATTACCTTTGAAGATTTAGGGTTTAAGAATATTAAAATCAATTAGTTTTGAAGATTTGTACACCATGGATGACATTGAGATGGTTGGTTCCAATATAAACATTGAAAACGTTGATTTTAATATTGAAAAGGTTAGTTTATGACTAGTTTTTTGGTTTTTTATTTATCTCATTCATATGTTAGGAAAATGAGTTTGTTTGTCGTGTTCGAATAACCAAAGTTAAAATTTTACATAATGATCGATTATTTATATTTGAACAAACCAATTTTGTTTAAATTATTAAGATTGACCAAATATTAAATGTTCATACATAAAAAAATGTTAGTTCGGTTAAAATAAATTAAACTTTTATTTATTAGTTAGATCTAAATCTTTGAACACATTAAATTTGTTCAACTCCGTATTTACGATCATGACTAATTTGATGAATTTGAAATGACGATGAGAGATGAGAGTTCAAGACCGATAATGAAGATCAACATTGACGAAGATGGAGGCTGAATGAAACACTCCGCTAGTGATTTGAAACGATGAGACAACAAGATGAAGCACGATGAGAGTTCAACACCAACTATGGAGATCAGCATTGACGAAGATGGAGGCCAAATGAAACCTCCGCGGGCGATGGAGATCAAGACCGACGTACATTATTTCTGTTATGAAGATTGTGGGGTTTTTGTAGTGTATAGTGGTAAAAATGAAGAGTTTTTGGTATGTGTAATGATGTGTATTCAAATAGTTAACGGTTAGTTAATATAGGATTAGTAATGGAAAATTAATGTGTAAATTAAGATATTTTTAAATCCTAAAAATTATTTTATGTGTATACTAAGTAATGATGTGTACTGAGAATATTAATGGTGTGTAAATAGAATCACCCATAACAATATGGGATAAAGGACATTTATAGTCTCTAAAATATGCAATTATTTTATTTTAGCTTCTTAAGTTTTAATTTTATCATTTTGATCCTTAAAATTTTTAATTTGAGTCAAATTAGTTCAATTCAAAATGACTGTTTAAATCTTTGATGGAATAATTATAAATTTCAACTATGGTCCCTAAAGTATATATTTTGTATCATTTTGGTTCCTAAAGTATCAATTTTGTCAATTTCATCCTCAATATTATGACATTATGTTTCATTTGATTGATTAATGTTTCAGGACCAAATTGATAAAATTAAAAATTTTGGGGACCAAAGTGACATGAAACACATACTTTAAGAATCATGCTGTATTTTATTACCATTTCGTTAACTATTTAGACGGTCTATTAAGAATTTGATCAAATTGAATCAAATTATTAAAAAAAAAAAAAAAGAGAGAGAGAAAAAGAAGAAGATAAAATTGACAAAATTAAAACTTGAAAGACTAAAGTGACAGAAAACAATACTTTAAAGAGAGTTCAGGCGACAAATCTAAATTTAAATTTTCTTTGTCCAAAAATCCACGTACTAAACTATTTAGTCCATAAGATAAGGACATATTTGTGCGAAATGACCAACCTACCCATTCTTTAATTTTTTTGTTCTATCTATCCAAATTAAATGTAACTAAATGAAGAACAGGCCTAATAACTTTCTCTTTTCCTCTTGTCTTTCTCTCTTTCTCTTTTTCTCTCTCTACAAATCCACTCTTTCTTTTCTCTCTCTATCTGTCTGTCTCTTTCTTCAATCTCTTTTTCTATCTATATATGCCCTGATTTTTCTCTTTCAAAGCCACCACCACCACATGCCGATCAAAGCCACCCCCACTGACGAAGAAAACAACAATAATAACAACAAAATCTTTGAGCCGCAAATTGATAATACCAAATAGAGCCCCCTCAATAAGCCACAACCACAACCCACCAACACCTCAACTGGTGAGCTGTCGGATTTGGGTTCGAAGATCAAAAGGCTATGAAGGAAAGAGATGACGACGGAGGAGATTTGTTGAACGGAGTGGGGGAGATGAATCCAATTTAAGAAAGGTATAAAGTAATATGTCTAGTAGATATTTTATATTAGTAAGAGGTCCACCCATTGTAAACTAGTTTGGTAAGAAGTCATTTTATTTGTTTTGAAAGGCATTTTGTTTGCAATTTTACCCTTTAATTTATCTATTGACTTTTGTTCACTATCTGTTGACTTTTGAAAGATATTTATCTATTGACTTTTCCTATTTGTTCAAAATTTATCCATATCTGTTCAAAATTTTCCTTATTTGTTCAATTTGTTTCCTATATGTTCAAGTTCTTTACCTTATCTGCTTAATTTTTTAATTCAAATTTCCCTTATCTGTTTAAATATTTGTCCAAATAAAATTCTATCTATGCCAAATTTATGTTCAAATGCAACAACAAACAAACAAAATTTATCAATACCAAAAAAATTCAAATTTAATACCTATTTGTTATCTATCCAAATTTAACACGGATATTACAACTTAGATTTTTTTGTTATCTGTCAAAATTAACAACTATATGTTAGATTTTTTATATATATAATCTATCTGTTTAAATATCTGTGTCATTTTTTTTTACAGATCCGGACATAAAAATTGTGTTATTTGTTGAATTTATCCACTGGACATAGTTATTGCAATTTGTTTCTTTGTCATTATCATCAACAACAATAACAACAACAAATACATTTAGAAAACAAGAGTAGTTGTCCCTATTCCGAAAATTGCAAGAGATTTGAGTATGAGAAAAAAGAGATCTGAGGAGAGAGAGAGAGACAGAGAGAGAGATCTATCTGTGGTGGTAGTACCAACAGCTATAACAGCGCAAAATGGGCGACAGAGGAGCATAATCGCCACGACGACTGGAGTTTTGCCATCAAATCCACTGCCGTTGGAGATGGCAGTAGTTGTGGTAGATCGGGTGTATAGTACGACGGTGGATAAGTTTCATCAAGGATGATGTCAGAAAGGAGTAGAGGAAGCTAGGAATGAGAGAGTGGGGAGATTTGTCTGAGATCACCATTGTTAGAGAAAGGTATCAGTTGGGAGGGTTAGGGATTGGGATTGTTGATCTGTAGTAAAAGACTTAACAGTAGAAGAAGAAGAAGAGGACATGAAACTACTCTCTCTGTCTGTGTTTTCCGGTTGCTCTCATTTCCTCTACTTCGGTGCCGTCACGGTGGCTCGGCCATTGGCGATGTTGTCACTGAGATTGACGGCGACAGCGATCTTGTCGCTGTGAAAGAGAAAGAGAGAGGGAGGATTCGTAGGAGTGTAAAAATAGCTCATAGCCCAAAACCCGGCTGCGGCCCAGGATGGGCTCAGACTAATTATGCCTAGTTAAGCTCGGGCCCGAGCCTAACCCGAGACATTGGGCCTAAGCTTGGGCTATCATTTTGAAGTCCAGCTCAACTTGTGGGCCTAATCCATTGGTTTGCTCAAGGCCCACTTAAAGCCCAGCCCGAGACCTAGTATCATTTTGGCGGGGAAAAAAAATTTGGTGAAAAAAATTAAAAAATATGTTCAAGCGTTGCCCAAGCTTGAGCCCAGACCCCCGCCCAAGGCCCGAATACCTCCTGGGCCTGGGCCTAATTTTTTGGCCCGTGGCCCTACCTAAATTTTGGCGGGAGCCCGTGAGGCCCGATATGGGCTAACCCAGGCCAAATTTACACCCCTATGGATTGGTAATAAGAAGAAGTGTGACTCTACCCAAGGTACTTTAGTCATTTTACAAAAGGATGTCCTTCTGGACATCATGAAAAATGACGTAAATCTTTAGACCCAAAAATTTAAATTTTGGCTTCGTCCGAGCACCCTTTATTTTATCTTTTTTTATTTTCACATCATCATCAGTAATACTTTTTCCTAGCTGTTGGGCCCGTGGGGGCCCACCACAGGTCCCGTTTTAATAATCTGAACTGTTCAATGTGTAGAAATCGTCGAGTACTATATGCCTGTAAAAAATCACGTTGATCGGATATCGATAGCTATGTGATCAAAACAGTTTTTTGTCAACCGTTAATTTGTTCACTGTCCAATTTTTTTAATACGAAATTGATTTGATCATATAGCTATCGATATCCGATCAACGTGATTTTTTACAGGCATATAGTACTCGACGAATTTTACACATTAAATGGTTCAGATTATCAAAACGGGACCCATGGTGTGCCCCCACAGGCCCAACAGCACGGTCCAGTCCGATCCCAAACAGGACAGAAGCCATACCCTATTTTTCTTTTCTTATTGAGCAACAAAAAAAAGTTTTTTGGCAATAGTTTTTGGCAACTAAATTTATGTTGGTAGCTAATAATCTTCTCGTTGGTTACTAAAATTAACTTAGTCTCTAATTGACACATTTGACGATTAAAATTGTAATCATGAAAGTTTTCAGATAAAAATAAAGTTCTCTTTTATGGTTACAGTAAAATTGTTCAAACTACAAATTTATTTTAAAAACAAAAGATATTTTTATAGTTTTACAATCAAATAAATTTAGTTATTTTCATGACAACTACACTTAATTTTTTTTAATTGTCATATTATTAATGGTGCACCCTAAATATTAAATAATAAAAACATATGTTATAACATAATTGATAAATATAACAATATACTCACAAGTATTTAATAATTTTTCCCACCCATATTTCATGATTGCTCTTCTTTTCACAACTTTATACAGCAAAATCATTCCCAAATTAAAAATCAAGGCAATTGAAGAAAAAAGGGCACATACCATAGCATCTTCAATCTTATTGTAAGGAAATGGTTCAAGATCATAATTGAGTAACAGAATATGGGAGAGTGAGTACATTGCATATCATCACAAAATCAGAGCATAACAGAGCATCTAGTGGAGATGTGGGCTCGCAGTGGATTCTTCATGACAATGGTGAATTCTTGTTTCTCTGATAGATCAACATCATCTTGATTTCCACCGGGAGCCGTCCATTCAAAATACCAGACCAAATTGGCAACGAAGTACTCCAAGTGAAGCAGTGCCAAACCACTTCCCGGACATATCCTCCTCCCTGCACCGAACGGCATCATCTTTATCTCCCTGCTCCCTGTTATATCGAACAAACCCCCCGATGCCTCCCCTCCTCCTCCACTACCATCATGTCGCTCAACTTCACTCTCCTCGCCACTATTATTTGTCAAGAACCTCTCTGGCTTGAATTCCATGGGTTCATCCCAAACATTTGGGTCCCAACCCATCTCTGCCACCATGAAGTTCACCATAGCATTCTTGGGCACCAGGTACCCCTCCAACTCCACATCCTCCTTCACCGAGTGGGGCAGCACGAAGTGCCCTGGCGGGTGCCGCCGAAGCCCTTCCAACACCACGGCTTTTAGGTACGGCATCCTCTGCAGATCCTCCTCCTTTATCACCGCAGTGGTTTCCTTTGCTTTGCTTTTTACTTGTGGGGGTGGACCCACAACACCAGTGATCTCTTCATACAATTTGGACTGGACCCGAGGGTACTTTACCAAGTTGGCCATGATCCACTGCAAAGCCGTGGAGGTGGTATCGGTGCCTGCGTTGAGAAACTCCCCGCATAGTGTCACTATCTCCTTGTTGTTCAGCTTCCTCTTCTCCTCCGGCAGCTCTAGGTCCAACAAAGTGTCCACATATCCCACCACGCTCTCTTCTTCTTCTTCTTCTTGATGGTTCCCCTGTTGTCTTTGTTTCACAAATTCCACTCGGGCGTTGATGAGAGGGATCAACACGTCCTCCTGATTCTGGCGCAGCCGTATGAGCTCCTTCCAGCGCTTGCGGAACACAATCTTCCCTAACCTAGGCCAAAAATTGAGTATATTGAATCGATTCAAATTGAGTAGAAACTCGCGCTGCACGGTCTCGATTTGTTTGATTTGGGTCTCGTCAAGCCTGTCCCCAAAACACATCAGGACCAAAAGGCAGAACATAGCGTATTGAAAATGATCAACCACCTTGACGGCTTCTTGGGTTTCAGAGGATTCGAGAAGGCGGTGGATGAGAATTTGGAGGACCCAATGGCGAGCACGGGAGTAAGATTTGACGCGGGAGGGGTGGAGGATCTCGGAGGTGAGGTTGCGGCGAAGGAGGCGCCAGGTGGGGCCGTAGGCGGCGGAGCTGATGTTGTGCTGGTTGCTGGTGACTAACTTGCTGGTGGCGACGGGCTTGGGACGGTCGGAGAAGACGGCGCCGTTCTGAACGAGGGCACGGTGGGCGACGGAGTGGCTGCCGACGAAGATGGCGGGACGAGACCCAATCTGGAGGGTGACGATGGGGCCGTACTTAGCCCGGAGGTCTCGGAGGATGGGTTCGAGCTCCGAGAATGACTTCCGCATCCATAGGAAGTTTCCGATCACTGGAACAGTGGTGGGTCCTGGGGGAAGAGGGAGATTCTTGTTGGATGAAGAAGAAGAAGGAAAGAGGGGGATTATTATTAGGTCGAATAGGGATTTGAGAAGAGCGCAGATGCAGAGGGAGATGAGGATGATGAACCAGGTCTCCATCTTTTTTTCTTTTCTCTCTCAATCAATGATGAGATGAGGATGAGTGAATTGGATAATAAGCATTTCTCTCTCAATCAATGATGAGATGAGGATGAGTGAATTGGATAATAAGCATACAAAAATGAAGAATTGAGAAGACAGTGTGACGAAGGCGGTCAGGTTTCGTGTGGTGCCAAATGAATAATGGAGGATTGTGTTTCGTATGATTTTTGCATGTAGACCGGGTATTTATGTTGTATGAAATATGGATTATATTATTGGGTATTTAAAGAATATTAAAAATATATATATTTTTGGTAAAAAGATATTACCATTTAATATCACATTAATGTACAAAACTTTCTTGAATTGTGGGGTATTTTAAAAAGTTGGTAAAAAATTATTTTTTTTGATTTTTTTAGTTTATTTTGTCTTTGTATAGGTAAGTAAAATGTGCTGTGACCAAAAATAAGTAAAAAATTAGAAGCTGACTTTTTATCAACTTTCCAAAAGACTCCTATATATCTATACACTGGCCAAATTATATGGATTTATAATTGACAATAAAATATTATATACAAAAAAGATAATAAGGTCTCGTTTGAGAATATATTTTTTTAGTAATTTTTTGGCTGTGTAACTAAAATACGATGTAAAAAAATTAATATGTTTGGAATAACTTTTGATTTTTTACGAAAAGATATATAAAAAAGTAAAAAGAAAAAGAAATCTTTGACTTATATAGGTTGTTGACTTTTTAGTTTTTTTAATAATTTTTTTGACTTTTTAATTAAAAAAGTCACTAACCAAACGAGGCCTAAGTAAATTTTTTTTTTTAGAGGATGATCTCTTTCAATTTAGATTTTAAATTAATGGTGTTGTTTTAGTCCTGTCTAATTGATTCGAAACGTTTATTTTATCAAATATTTCGTATATTTCATTCATACAAAAAACTAAATCCTCTGATAGGTATAACGTATTCATTTTTTGATTAAAAAGTAAACAATGATTGTGTTTTTAAAATAAATTATAAATTTTTTTTAGTGATAAATATAATAAATTGAACAAGTAACAGTTATTAGATCGATTTAATTTTTTTTATGGGTAAAATATACGAAGTACCCGACAAAATAGATGTTCAGATTTTACTTTACATATCATATACCCTTAGTTACGCCAAATTAAAATAAGATTTAAAGTGTAGAGATCAAATTGTTTCAATAGAAACAATAGAAACTAAAGTAAAATTTGACTCAAACTAGGTAAAAAATGTAATTTACCCAACGTATATACACTACTACAAAAACAGATAAAGATCACACTTTTTTTGTGTGATGTATGTTATTTAATCACACCTTTTAAAGTGTGATCTTTGGGAGTGTTAATTGAAAAGTGACATAAAAAATAAATATTATCACACTCAATCAAATTAAGTGTGATTAAAATATCAATCTAATTTTTTTTATCACACTTCCAATAAAAGTGAGATCTTTTTTTTTTATCAAAGTGTGATCTTTAACTATTTTTGTAGTAGTGATATTTTTATTGAAGAATTCTATTATATACACTCCATACCATATACCTTTAGTTACGTCACTTTCTTCTTTAGTTATGACTAATTTTTTTTTAATTATGACATTATTTTAATATTTTGATTATGATTTTTTTTATGACTTGTTATAACTTTTTTATTTTTTAGGTAAATTATACTTACACCCCCGAGGTTTGAATATAATACATATTACTCCTGACGCTTGGGAAATTACGCTGACTCCTTGTCATTGTAATTATTTAGACGAAATTAACATTGGTATAAAAAAGATATTAAATTCATACACTCTCTCTTTTATTGTTTTGCATTACTTTTATTTTTTTCCTTTCCTTTGTTTTGTTTTGCTTTACTTTTTTTTTAATGTAATTTACTCTGTTTTTTATCAGGCATTGTTGCCTTTTATATAAATAGGAGATTTGTGAGATGAGACTATTAACCACATGGGTAAAAATATATTTTCTATAACGTCAGAAGGATAAGATTTAATCGAATTAAATCTCAAAGGATGTTAGTATAATTTATCCTATTTTTAAAAATTATGGCTTAGTCAATGTAAAATTATTTTATTTTTTTCTATAATTACAATGTGTACAAATCATTTTAGGGATATTTATCAATAAATTTCATATCACAAACAAGTACTCTAATTAGTCTCAAGTTTTTTTTTATTGATCCGTTAAGTCCTATTAGTGGAGAGTTTCTTTCTGTGTGGTCCTATTTTTTATTTTGGTATTATTTTGGTAGACATCTATGCCCTATTTTTTATTTTGGTATTATTTTGGTAGACATCTATGCCCTTTTATTAATGTGACAGTTATGATGTGATACTCTAATGTGGCATGTATTAATATGGCATTCTAAAGATGTGACACTCCAAAAAAACTAAGGGTATGTTTGGTTTGGTTTTGAGAGAGTAGTTTTAAAAAATTGTTTTGGGGGGAGAGTTTAGAATTTTTTTTGGTTTATTTGGTTATGTATTTTGAAAGTAGTTTTGGAGTTTGAAATGATTTGATATTTTGTTATAATTGAGTAGATGTTTGTGACAGAAAAAGTGATTGAGAAGAAGAAAGGAGAGAGAAAAAGTGATTAATTGATGTGTAAGAGAGAGAAAATGATTTTGAAAATGATTTTGAAAAAATTACAAATCAAACAAGTTTTTTTAGAAAATTTTTCCCAAAATCACTCTACAAAACCAAACCAAACATACCATAAAAATTTCGTAGTGTACTTTTATCAAATATGACAATATGATAGATATGATATGACACTTCAAAACTTTTACTCAAAAAAATTAAAAATTCCTTAATGTACTTTTCTCAAATGTGACAGTATGGCGAGTATGATGTGACACTCCAAAATTTTTACTATAAAAAAGACAAAAAATTCCATAGTGTACTTTTATCAAATGTGACAATATGGTGGGTATGATGTGACACTAAAAAAAAAGAAAAAACTCCTTAGTGATGTGAAACTCTAAAAAATATAATCTCTTTAGTATACTTTTTTCAAATATGACAACGTGACGGGTATGATATGACAATAAAAAAAATAAAACTTATTAGTATACTTTTTTCAAAGTAGTGTACTTTTATCAAATATGACAATATGATAGATATGATATGACACTTCAAAACTTTTACTCAAAAAAATTAAAAATTCCTTAATGTACTTTTCTCAAATGTGACAGTATGGCGAGTATGATGTGACACTCCAAAATTTTTACTATAAAAAAGACAAAAAATTCCATAGTGTACTTTTATCAAATGTGACAATATGGTGGGTATGATGTGACACTAAAAAAAAAGAAAAAACTCCTTAGTGATGTGAAACTCTAAAAAATATAAAATCTCTTTAGTATATTTTTTTCAAATATGACAACGTGGCGGGTATGATATGACAATAAAAAAAAAATAAAACTTATTAGTATACTTTTTTCAAAAGTGACAACGTGATGAGTATGATGTGACACTAAAAAAAAAAATTCTTAACATACTTTTTCCAAACGCGATAACGTAACGGGTATAATATGATACTCTAAAAAAATTAAAAACTCTTTAGTGTACTTTTCTCAAATATAACACTCCAATGTGACAGATATGATGTGACACTAAATTTTTTTTTAGTATCTGTTGTGTATTTTTTTCAAACGTGACAATGTGACGGATATGATATGACACTTTAAAAAAAAATAAAAACTCCTTATTGTATTTTTTTCAAACGTGACAACGTGACGGAGTATAATGTGACACTCTAAAAAAATTTAAAATTCTTTAGTGTATTTTTCTCAAATGTAACACTCTAATATAGCGAGTATAATGTGACACAAAAATTTTTTTTAATATACTTTTTTTCAAATATGATGGATAAATAAATCATTATGCATAAAAAAAAACAAAATAAATTAAAAAAAATATATTAAATTACAAATCTAAAATCTAAAATTTTTTAGTCAATCTCCGCCATTATAAAATTTATTGGTCAATCCCCATCATTTTATACATAGGGTTTCCCATTTTTATTTAAAATTTATTTTTTGGTTCACCGGATAATTGCGCTAGTAGACAGACTGCAAAAGGGCTTCAAAATTTGAAAAGCAAATAGAGATTCAAAATTTGAAAGAGAGAGAGAGAGATTGTGTGTGTGAGAGAGAGAGAGAGAGAGAGAGTGAGGACTGAGTAATGGCATCATCAACAAGAGGAGGAGGAGACATGAAAGGTTTCTTCAGGCAAAGGAAGAAGAGCGGCCCCATCGCCAAGCCAAAGGGAAAGAAATCGTCCCCAAAACACTCCTCTTCTGCTTCTTTCGAAATTGCCCAACCTGCTTCTCTCCATATCAATGGTTCCCCCCTCCCTCTCTCTCTCTCTCTCTCTCTCTCTCCATCTTTCTGTCTTGACTTTCAAAGTTTAGGGTTTTTTTTTTTTTTTGAATCTCATATCTTGTTCCTAATTTCTACAAGATCAGGGTTTTGGTTCATGGATATAAAAATTAAGATCTGGATAAGTGGTATCATTGCATTGATTGTTTTAGTCATACTGCTCAACATGTCCAGTAATTTAATGAATTTTGTGATATATTGTTTTCAGCGATTTGTACATTTTAAATCATTATTATTATGATGATTATGTTAACACACATTATGCATATGTGTCTGTTTGTGTGTACAGATGATTACGATGAAAATAAGGAGGTTTTGTTGAGGCAATTCGATATGAATATGGCGTACGGGCCTTGCCTTGGGATGACCAGACTGGCTCGTTGGGAGCGTGCCCATAGTTTAGGTTTGAACCCTCCCGAAGACGTTGAGAGATTTTTGAGAGAGGCTAAGGTCCGCCCTGATTGCTTGTGGGATGGCCGTGTTTAGCTTAGCTTACCTTATGTTACTACTGCTATATACATTGCATACAATGTCGTAGCTATCATTATGCTTCCGCTTTTGTTTTTGTTTGTTTCATGTCTTTCGGTGAAAGCATGTGCTGTGCTGTGCAGCCTTTCTCTGGCTGTCATCTATTGACTATTATGATGTCTTATTTTGTGTTGAAACCTCCCTCAACTCGAGTTGTGAATGTGAATGTGAATGTGCGTGTAGTAGCTTGTTCAATTTTCATACCCTTTTATGGTGAATTTACTCTCACAATTAATTAGCTTATAAAGAAAGCAAAAAAATTAGAAACCTACAGCATAAACTATTGTGCTTCAAGTCCTTTCTCTTGCCTGCACTTGTATAAGCAATGGAAATTCCTTACTCCGTGTTTGGTTGAGGGATTTGGAAAGGAATTTGGAAAGGGAAAAGGAAAAGGTGCGTGAAACTAGGTGTCACCGACGTTTTTCTTTTCCATTTCTAAATCCCTTTTCAAATCCCCAACCAAACACAGTGTTAAAAAATGCTGTGTCAAAAACAATGGCTTCAATGTGTGGATGTGGTGTTGATTCATAAACTTGCATATGTTGCATTCTTTTGCCAGTAATGTGTGATTGAGTGTTTAATGCAAAGTTGTTTTCTCATGGAAAGTAGTTAATCAGATCAGACAAACTGAAATTTGATCAACCTCTGTAATCTCTTTCCATTAGTTATACTAATTTTATTTTCCACTGTTATTTTGTTTTCTGTTGGCAATCAAACACTAAGATAAGGTTGTTGATTATGCTATATTGTTATATTTGATTTTCAGCTTTTATCTTTATCGCATTAAACTTATGTGAACACTAAGATACGGATTGACACGTGAAAAAACACTAGGGTTGGTTTGGGATAATCTAAATAAGTGTATTTTTTGACTTTTTATGAAATATGGGTTGGGTTTGAAATGATGTGGTAGAGAGGTGATATGACTTAAATAGGATAATACCTTTTTGATTTTTTTAAGTTATGACAAACAAGGCCTAATTTTTTTATTTTTATTTTTTATTTTTTATCTTTAATCATGAGTTATTTAAGAAGATAGATGATTTAGGTGCTGTTTATGGAGCCGCCTATCATAGCGCTGCCACTTTCATCATTTTAATAACTGGGGCATATTAGATGCCATGTTATTGCCAAGATGACGACGACGACGACGACTTCACTACTGGTAGTCAACTTTACAGTTTTTGCCCCTGAATCAATAAGAGGATGCTGACTGATGAAGCATCTAATTATGCACACAAATACATAGCTTCCCCCTGAATAAAAAAAGCTTTGTTTTCTTGTTTTGAGTATTAGGACTTAACTGGTTATGTTTTTGACTTCCTTTGCTTCCATCCTATCAACAAACAGCTTGCTTTGATGCATGATTTGATCAATCAATTGGCTATTATGAGATTTATTACTTCTTATTTGACAGTTAACTACTTTCATATGGTGCCCTGTTGCTCTCAATGTTAAATAATCAGAGATTATGATATAATATGTCCACCATAAAGCAGTGATTGGAACCTTAATCCAGGTCTTAAATAATTGTTCTGGCAGTTGAGATGTAGTAGTACTTCAACCATATTCTGGGAATTGAAGGTATGAAAGAAAGCCAGAGAGTCCCATTGGGGTTTCTACTCATCAATAATATGAACGTGGGGCCAATCATAGAAAAAGAGCCATCACAATTTGAATAAAAGTCTGTCTCGAGTAGTAAGTCCCATTTTCTTTTATGTATGGTTGGGATATTTTATCTATGATGATTGATTTTGTGACCGTAGGATAGGGTTATATTTTTCTTCTTCTGGTTTCCTTTCATCTAATTGGAGAATACAATATGTTACGTGGTTAACTTGTTACCTTGACATCCTTTCCTGTGCTTTTAATGATGATTGGTAATCACACTCAATAGGACAGGAAAGAAGTTTTAATAATGATGGGTGTTGGCACAATTCTGTTTCAAGTGTTAACTAGTGCATTCATTCATTCATTCATCTAGTGATAAAGATGGGTGCTGTTCCATGCGTGGCCATCTTAATATGATGATTGGATCCACCTTTGACAACAATATATGCAAATTTTATTCTATTTTTTTCCCTCTCTTCCATAATTAACTCAAATCTGCACAACAGTACTTAAAAACAACCCTCTGAATTTTCTTCCAGAATTGGGGGAGATTTGATGATACTGAATGACCTTAATCATCAATCAAATAATGCAGAAGCTACTAAAAATCTTTGTTTTATCTGATCGTAGAGTTCTGTAGAAACTACTAATAAATAGTAGTATATTTCTTTTTAGCAGTTGATGCGTGACACGAAATGATTAAACACCATAAAGAACATAAATATAATTTTCAGAAACAAAATCTACGTCCAACTCCATTCCACTCTTCAAAACACTAGTACTGTTGCTGCTGTTGTCACTTCACCTGTGCTCACTCTCTCTCTCACCACCTAATAATCAAGTGGCAAGAGCGTGTAAGGCTGCGTGGTAGGCCTAAAAATCATCGTCCGCTGGCACCACCCCCAGCATGCAACCCACTCACTCACTATGAATGCAAAGAGCAAGAGCAATGGCCGATGTTAGTAGTGCCATCTGAGACCCCAAGTCAGCCTTGTGGGCAAAGCTGTGCCATTAGAACATTGAATGGTAGAATTGAAAAGAACTACAATACTTCCAAGGAAGCCTCAGAAGACCACAACATACAGTGAGTTTAGCATCCCCATCATTCGATATATATTCCTTTCACCAAAAATTAATAAATAAAATCTGAAAAACCCTGAAAACTGCCATAATTGACTGAATGGCTGAGATGAGTCTCTTTAGTGGAATGGACCTGAAGTGTCGATTATATGTGACACACCCATAGGATGATAGCTGCCTGTCCAAAAACCTTGGGAGATCCTCCATAGCAAACTTGATGCACCAAACAACTTTCACATTCAAAAACAATTACAAATTAGAAGAAAGAAATTGCTAAATCCACATCCATTATTGTTATTTAAAGAGTTGGCTTTATTCTCTCCCCTGAAATGTGAAAAGAAAGGGCTGTAGATATATACTAGCAATTAAGGTTGTACATTTGGCTTTATTCATAAAAGAAAACCATTCTAAATCAACAATAGTTGCTTGTAGACATTAGTAAAAATAATGATGCTCCGTTACATATAATTGTGTCAGGAATCCTCTTCAACTTTCAATGTATATATGAATTTAGTCAGTTTCCACCAGTGGATTGTGCTACAATCCTTGCACCATCAACAGTTAAAAACATATGCTTGCAATGTTTCATAAATGACAAACAGTGGTAGCATTTCGAATTCAAACTGTGATCTGACACCAATTCCCTGGTTGAAACAAGAACTGGCAGCTGAATGAAAGATGAGAAGCAATGCATTACATAACACCCAAACTTGTTCCTTGTGTATCATCAATTAACCACCAACGCGTAGCCATGCCAACAACATTAGTACAAGCAACTGTGGGTAAAATTAACGTCCAAAAACCAACTCCTTTATAGATGTCAATGGTGAACTGTATCCATACGCTTTGGTGTCTCTCCAAAAAGCAGTACCTGTTGCAATACCACCCAAAAAAAGAAATGAAATTCATCCCCACAGTTCCCAGAAAGATTAGGTTGTAGCAGTATTGGGAAGTTAAAACATGGATTGAGGGACAACCTATCCAAATGTACAAGCCAGCTGTTGCTGCCAAGAAGAATTCCTTGCTGATACTGTTAAAACTGAATTCACAATAAAATGTTACGGTTAACAACATATAAGATTGCTGCTCATGAACCTGTGACAATGCAGTTGCAGGTGGAGATTTCTCAAATCTTGAATATCTTACCAATACAAGCATATGAGGTTCCCCCATCCATAAAAAACAGATGCCCAAGTTGAGCCGGTGAACCTGCAATTATTTGTTAAACCAACCATCCTCATTTCAATTCATCATCAATAATCATCAGCACTAAAACTGTCAACGGCACAAAACAGAAGGATCACCATTTAAGATACCACTCCCAAACCATAAGATCATTTATAAAATCAGTAAAGGAGACTCACAATCTCACAAATAGGAATACGAGAATTTTTATGGTTGGGGAAGTTGGCTACATCCACCAGGGGAGAGAGATCAAACCAACTGACAATGATGAACTAGGGTTTGCAACAGATTCTACCCCCAACTCTCACCAGAAAATAAATACATAAATAATTATTATAAGAGCTTGATACAGTATCTGACCGAAAAGTATCAAGTGTCCGCAGTCCTCTTGAAAATTCATTACTTAGGTAGGTGATTTCTTACTTTGGTCCTTTGCTTCATGTCACAGACTGAAATACAATTTCTCAGGAGTTTTGGTATAATTTCAAATATAATCTCAGATACATGCATTTCTTTCACATTTCAAGCAGTTAACGCATTTCCTTTATCCACCTTGGCTGCAAAAAGCACCACTTAGAATAGGACAGAAATATTCCCCCTTACTGGCGAGCCATATAGGTTATTTCCAAGGTTTCTTTCCTTCCTCAGTGGTTTACTTCTTCAATAGATTATGCTTTAATGAAACTTTACACCATCTTTAAATAGATTTAAAAGGATTTTTGGGTTTGGACCTTTATTTAACTTCTTAAGAACATTAAAAAATGGATTAATTTTTAAAATCCAAAATGAAATTAAATCCAAATAGTAAAGCTTGGGTATGCAAGGCTTTGAATATTACCTTCAAATAGTCTGAAAACAAGATTAATCTAAGACTATTTAATGTAGGTCAAAACCATAGGTTCTCTCTCTAGCTCATAAAGAGCAGGATTAAGTCAGTTCAATTATACACTTCAGCAGTGACAAGAGACCATTATAAGAGGGGAAATTATATTCGCACACCAACACCATTTGTATTGTTCGGATATAAACTTCTGTTCAGAAATTTGACTTTTGTTCAAAAGTTTATATTCGAACGATATAAATGGTGTGTATCTGAGATTTTTTGTGGTGTACAAATAGAATTACCCTCATAAGAGGCTAGTTACATCACTTCCCTAGCAAGGTTTTTAAATACAATACATCCCAAAATCAAGAATTCTTGTGCAGTTTTGAAGCTTGGGAATAAGACTAAATACAAAAGGGTTGCCTCAGACAACTTTAGCCATGAATTTCCTGCTATATAATAGTAAGGGAAGTGCTACTGTACACCTCCCAAAAGGGTGCATATGGTATGCACCCAAAATTTCAGCTACAATAGTTCATGACTTCCACCAATTTAGGTCACAACCAAAACCAAATTGGTTCATAACAAAAATACCACAAAGTCTCATAACCAACAAAACACCATAAAGCTAATTAACCAACGCCAATTCAGTTCATATCCAAACACCGCAAAGCCTCATAACCAAAACCAATTTGGGCCATAACCAAAAACACCATAAAAGTCTTATAATAACCAACCATCACAAAGCCTCGTAACTAAGTTCACCACAAATTTGACAACCTCAAAACCCCAGAACTATGCACCACATGATTCATAACTACAATTACAAATCTTCATAGCTATGTCGTATGATATACATCTTTTAAGGAGGTGTACCATAGAATTTTCCTAATAGTAATTGTGTACAATGTTATCATAGGTATGCACAAAATGCTTCAAAAAGCCTATGTAAGTAGAACTAGCATTCAAATATCAAGTTAATCCTCTCTCTCCCTCTTTAGCCGTGATTTTCTGACTAGATGGCAGCAAGTTGTACAAAACATACAAGGAAATATATATGGACTGGTATTGAATTTTTCGCAACAATTTTGTGCAAGTAGAACCAACATTCAAAGGAAAAACTTGTCCACACTAGGGACTAATGCTTATGTGTCAAAATAAAGAATTTTTTATGCAAGGGTCGAATATATCGTGCCAAAGTTGTTGGTCTGCTACCATGCTTTAGTGTTCCATAAACAATTAAGTTGTATTATATCATGTGATTTCTTAACAACCTGATTCATTAATTTGGCGCACATTAATATTAGGGCAAAATTCATTTTACCATGTGCTTTAGTCCTTGGGTGCACGTGCGCGCGCGCACACACACACACACACAAAACCCTCCCTCTCTTTTAAAAATAGCCACATACCAGCTTTGTGGTTTTGACCATTTTACAATTTACCTCCCTCCTGTTACAAATTCCATCCAAATTGACGGTATGTGTGTTACAACTTATGAATTCCATCCACTTCATCTCCCTTCACCTAGCCGTGCTGCCCCCTCCCACCTTCCACCAGCCTCGCTGCCATTCCCTCTCCCCTTATCTAGTCATGCCGCCCACACCAAATCCCCTCACCAAGCCCTGCCACAACTTCCTCTCCCCTCACCCACAACCCCAAGACCCCCTTTCACTACTCCAATCATGCTGCCATTCCTCTTGTCACCGACCACCCCCTACGACCCTTCTCCTCTGACCCAGCATTGTCGCCACTGTGTATATATATATATAAGAACCATTGAGTTAATGGTTTAATGTTTAACGAGTTAACTTGTCAAATATAAATTTAATTTTTGAAACTTAATTTTTAAAAAGAAGGGTAAAGTGTAAATTCATATCTCCATTAACGGAGTTAGGAGTTGCATTTTAGTCCTAAACCACAAGGCAGTATGTGGCAATTTTTAAAAGATAGGGTGGTAAAGTGCTCTAGCCTCCAAGGCTACCATCGGGGGTAAAATGAATTTTGCCCTTAATATTATTTGTAAAAAGGGCCACTCAGCTTTTATCATATATAACTAGTTGGTGATGATATTGAACATTGGCACGCAGATGGAAAAGAATCCATCAAGGACAAGATAATGATTTTCCCACGGCCACACGTGGGCCCACAGGCACAAGAGGAAATAGTGGGTGCAAGTAGGGAAGCTTACCTGTTGCTTCTTCCGCATTAGGTTTCATTTTTCCTATAGGCTTTAGTATTTCATGATAAGAGGTGAGAAACTTGTAATGGTTCAATCGAAGGTAGACACGGTTAATGTCCCTCCGCCATAAAGAGTGAAATGAATGTAAAACACAATCATTAAATACCTACCAAGTAACTCAATGAAGCCCAAAAACTGGAAGAATCATAAACAAAGCAGAGAGTTCGATGAAGCTGAAAACTATGCTCAAAGACCATGAATGCAGACACTTTTTTTACTATAAGAAATAGATTTAGGTTATAGAAAAGACCATCCACATACGAGGGTGTAAAAGAGTAACATGCAACTTCAATCTGAAGGTAGGAAAATAAATGTTTAAAAGATCTAACATAATTGGTAAACATATTAACATAATCCTTATAATGGCAAGACAAACTTGACTAACAACGATCTTGCATAGGTGAGGAAGGATAAATAGGGTTTGAGTGGGGAGAACAAGATACCACATGAAATCACGGATAAAGAGAGCACGTGGGATCATTAGTCCATTCCCAATCATAGCAAGCAACATTGATACAGCTGATAAACCTTTGATGTTATCAGGATTCAGGAAATTAGTCCACTGAAAAGGAATCACAAATTTCAGTCAGAACACTCAATTTTCAAAATTCCAGCTTTGACAAACAAATAGAGGGGGAGGGGAGGGGGAATATTACCATTTGTGCAACCGGCATCCACATGAAGAGAAGTGTGGCAGTCCATCCAGATATAGATCCAACAAATTTGATACCTTTCTCTGGAAGTTTACCCATTCGTGCCTGCAAACATTAGCAGCTTCAAATTTAGATGGCTTCAAGGTCCAAATCCCTACTCTTAAGGCTAGTGTAAGGAATTACCAGTAAAACTATTCAACCCCAAACAGATCTTTCTTCCAATTTCTGAGACATTTGGAGGTTGATATATCTCCACCAAAGACAATGTGGAAATAATCGGTCCCTCCTAGTTGTATTTAAATTGCAGTCAACTATGTAAAAAATTTAGACCCTTGCTCAATTTAAAGCCAGAGCTTGATCTTACCAAACTGCTTTGCCTAGAGAAAAGACAACCAAAAATCAAGCACTTGCATACACTATACACTATACACTATATGGCCTTTTGGAAACTACATCTGGGGACTTTCATCAAGTTAAGAAACATCTATATCCTTGGCACTCCAAAGAATGACAAAACAGGAGGTAAAAACTTGAGAGAATGTTTGCTTGCATGCTACTCAAGGTCATTTGGAAGGAAACTAGCTAAAGACGATTCAAAAACACCAATTGAAGGCTGCTTTCCACCAGTTGTTTCACAAGTAGCACACTGGTTTACCATGTTCATCCATTGTGAAGGATATCATGGCAGTTTCAATATCACATTTTAAAGAGGCCTGTTCCTAATTTCATGATAAAAAATAACATCTAGCAGCATGGGGGTAACAAGTATGAAAATGGGGGCCATTTCAACAATTTGTTATTTACTGTATGCAAACTAAATATGAGATGATTGAAACTCAAATGAAACTTCATAGGTCAGATATTATTCTTTTCCTCTCTTCTAGCCCATTTTTCCCACCAATTATGGCACTGTGGGGAATCAGAAAAATTGATTAAATGAGAAGCCATGTAGAATTGATGAGAACTTGTTAGACACAAACAGATAATTCAATGAGGTAACAGTCCATAATGAGCAGTGAGTGAGCCCTAAAGGTCAGTCCAAGATATATACATACGTGTATAGCTATATATACACATGCATATATATACACACACACATATACATGTTATTAACATAATGCTTGTGTTTGAAATTTTTTAGTGTGTTGGAGTGAATTTAGTTGCCTTCTACAATGGATAAATTAAAATGGTTTCAACATGTAATTAAATCATATAACATTTTACAACTTTTGTTACAAATTACAAGTAATTCATGCTCACTCACTTTATGGAGAACCAATGGCTCTCCCCAATATGGACCGTACTTGTTACAGTCAACTAAGAAAGCTACACAACGCAGAGCCATAATTCATTTGGTTCCATGAAATCATACCTGCAATTTGCTACCCCAAACCATAACATATTTATGGTTTAGTATTATAGACGAATTGTGGCTCCAATCCATTATTTCTGGATTTAGAAAAATGCATATAGATAATATTCAGAGGACCTATACAGGGTAATCAACGGTAAATGCTTTTCAGGTAAAAATTTTCATCAAGATAAAGAATGGATAAAATCCCAACCTAGTATTTGTATAGCAATGTTTCTGATTTTTCTATTATGAAAGGATTCACGTGGATATTCTCATCTGCCTGTTGTATGCCTTCCAGATTTTATATACATTTATATACCAAAATATTTTACTCATCCACTGGCAAATAAATAAATAAAGGGGAAGTTGGTAATTAAGTGAGAAGTTGTTTTGCAGTGTAAACTTTACCAGAAAGTTAAATACAATTACATAACAAATCAATCAATACACGAAAAGTAATGATGCTAGCAATATTTACGTGGAAAAACAAGTATATGAACACACAACATTGAGGCTACATGCGAGGAATGTTGGAAGCATCTTGGCATCATAAATGGCCATATAATATAGACTAATTTACTGCAAACAATTACATACGAAATCGATGTCATAAGTATAACACAAACTTCAATACAGATTTTGTGGTACATTACCAGAGAATTTGTGGAAAGATAGTAAACAAATTTGATACAATTTTACAGCCACGGTCCATAAAAAAATTCCCATATGGACGGTCTTGATCATCACTCACAATTCACAGAAAGATATTATTGTAATTGTTAATTTTAAATACAACTTCTTCCCCTCATGGTAGTTATTTACCACTCCCTTTGTGTAGTCTTACAACATTGATTAGGGTTGGTTGGGGATGTTCTAAAAAAGTGTACTTTTTGACTTATTGGCTTATATGGGTTGGGTTTGGGTTGGGTTTGATGTGATGTGTTAGAGAAGTGATGTGATTTAAATAAAATGATGTGACTTAAATATGAGAGTAACTTTTTGACTTTTTGTATTATTTAGGTTATGCCAAACTTGACCGTAATTTAACTAAAACACAAACTCAGTCAAGATAGGCATCATACAAACATAAAGCACCATATCCATGCCTGGATTATTTTCTTGACCTATTCTGGATTCAATCTAGCTGCATAAATTAACACCAATCAAGCTTACCATGACAACAGCCACCACAGCTAAGAAAAATGCAGTTATCCCTGGCAAAATACTGTTGGGAATATATGGGACAAATGTTGACCACATAACCTGTACCATTATGAAAAAATGTAAATGAATAAATAAATAAATAAATAAATACTAAAAAAGCAACAGAATTCATGGCTGGGGGTGGTGTTCTGTTAAAGATACGGAAATAAATAAGGAAGGGTTACTTGGGGAAGCACGGAGAGGCCCGCCACGGTAATGAAATCTTCCCAAAAGCGCCAGATTCCAGCACTGAGCAAATCAAAGTAATTCAAGAAGTTCAAAACGAGACCGGAGGCAACAACAATAGAAGTGACGATGAAATGAGGGAGAGGCATAGCTTCGGCCATGGCGAGCTGAGCAATGACCACATATATGGATATGACTCCCAATGTCTGCACCATCACCGCCTCTTTCTCCTTCTTCTTGGCAAAGTAGGACAGCAACGACAGATTCCCCAACAATCCAGTGAGCATCCCCTGCATTGCATTGTTTGTTTGGCACAAAGACATCATCATCATCATCATCATCATTAGTTAGGGTAGGGTAGGGTAGGGTAGGGGTTCCCAAATTCATTCAATTCCGTTATATATTTTGAATTTTACCAGCCATGGAACAGCCAAGAGTGCAGTCTTATTCCCGGCCAAGAGATTACGAGCATTGAGTACGATCTGAGGAATTTGCAGCAATAAAAATGGTAAATTTGCAGCTCCCGCGAACTTGGCCGTCAACGCATCCCATTGCTCCAATCCGCTATTCCTAGTCACCGATCTCTTTATTTGAAAGCCAGAAAAAAATAAAAATACAACACACACTCAGTATGTATATATAGAAGAAGATGATACTCATAGATCTCCTCATTTTAAAAAAAAATAATATTAACACTGGGCGTTTGTTTCATAGGATTGAGACGTGTGATTGTACTCCATATCCAATAAATTTGGTTACACATCATTTTTAGTCAAATAATCGAACCATTATTTATTTAAGATTGTATTATCTAGTTCGTCCAAACAAACACGAAACCTTACCTGGTGGTCGTGGGCAAAGCCCTCGGAGTCGAGAGCAGGGATGGGTTTGAGTCGGTGATGGAGCGATAAGGAGGAGGAGGAGGAGGAGGAGGAGGGGCCGCCTTCGCTGCCGAAGAACAACTTGGGGTGTTGAGGAAGAGAGGCATGGGGTGGTAAGAGAAAGGAGGGGGGAGAATGATTGGAAATGATGAACTCAGAGGAAGGTCGAAATGGTCGCAGGGGTGGTGCCCTCCTCCTCCTTCTCCTCTTCCCTATGCCTAATTGCAGTAGAGAATGAGAACCCACCACCACCACCGCCGCCATGATTTTGATTTTGACACTCACTGACTCTACTCTCCACTCTACTCCATTATTCTCTACTCAGACTCAGACAAAAAGACACTCTACTACTCCACTCCCAATTGGATATTTTTGAACCAGAAATGGAAAGTTAATAATAATAATCATAATAGAGGAGGAGGGGGGATGGAGATGACTGACTGACTGACTGACTGCCTCTGCCAACCAAGAGGCAGTTAAGTTACTCCTCCCGCCGCTTGCTGCTGTAGATTGGGCGGTTCCCAAGAGCCAATCTCGGCGTAACACGTGTCCACCTACTTTGATTTTTCCTATTTCCTTTCCCTTCCCCAACGCTCCCGCGATCGCCTCCTGTTTTAGATATTTTAATGCCTTCTTCAACCAACGTCGGTGTCCCTTTCCCCCATATCAGATCGATCAAATAACGTGAAGGAGCTGTAGGTGTACATGAGTTTGGGATTGGACTAATAGTCCAATAAAATTATTAATTCGATATTTAGTTAAACAATTAAGGTACAGGTTAATTATTTTAAACTTGACTATTAGTTAAGATAGGATACATAATCTAATGGATTCGTAATCCTAAGACTATTAGTCATGAGAATGCTAATCCAATCCGCCCAAACAAATATGGCCTTAGGCTTTTATTTTTAAGGTGTGTTTGGGAAATGGTTTATAAATTAGTTTATTCACTTTTTAATTTGTTTGTGTTATATTATGTTTTTTATTTTATTATACGTCTTTTTATAATAAATAAAAATATTAATTTATTTGATACTTTTTGAAATAATGTTAAATTTGAATTTAATTGTTTTATTTAGATTTAGGAGATTTATTATGAATTTTATTTTGATAATTTTTTTTTTTTTTTGTAAGACCCTTTATATATTATTTATGTAAAACATTAAATTAATTTGATAATCACAACATTTTCATCTTATCTTATTTGTTTCTAAAAAAAATACACAGTCTATTTAAAAAAATATATTTATCGTTCATTCATTTGAAAAAACAAACGCGAAAGAATTAAAATGTTACGATTATTGAATTGACGTTAATTTTTTATAAATGATATACATATAAAATCTTATAAAACTAACTATTTGAATCATTTAAAGGCAACTCGTGATGAGGTTTACAAGTTCGAATAAGATAGTTAAATTCATATTTGAACTTAAAATAAATTCAACTTCCTTTTTATATGTTAAAAATAAAAAATATATATTAAATTTATGTTGTATTTAGTTAGGAGATTTGTCAAGGGATTTAGAAAGGAAAATGAAAAAAATGTGTAAAATTAGGTAAAATATAAATATATTTTATTCACATTTTATATATTTTTTTTAATTTTTTTTCTAAATTTCTCTTCAAATCCTCTAACCAAACATAACATTAAGGGAAAAAATTCCTTACTTCTCAATTCTTTTATTGTTTTTTTAAGAAATTGGTGTGGCTGCTGTGCGGGGTGCATAGCAGCCACTGCTGTGCAGCCAATTGAGCCATTTTTTTGGCCCATTTTGATAATCCGAACCGTTCACATTTTAAAATACATCAAGTAGAATATATATGTAAAAAATCAAGTTAATCGGATATCGTTTACTCATTCATCCACTCACATTTGTATTCATTTTAATACTTTAAATTACAATTGTTATTTATTTTTGTAAATACAAATGTGAGTGGATGAATAAGTAAACCATATTTAATTAATTTGATTTTTTACAGGTATGTTTTACTTGATGTATTCTAAAATATGAACGATTCGAATTATCAAAATAAATTCTAAAAAAAACCCAAATAACTGCACAACAGCAACTGCGGTGCTTCCCGCACTGCAGCCACCCCCATTCCTTTTTTTAAACCCTGAAAGGCCCTTGTCACGGAAACCCATCTATAAAAAAAACTACACCCTCTCAATAACTTTGAAATCACACTGTCGCCCCCTCAATTTTTTTTTTTAAAAGTAATAAAATATAGTCCTATTTTGGAAAGGTGGTAAAAAGTAATTTTTTGAATTTTAATTAAGTTTTTAGCTTTTTTAGACAAATAATTTGAGAAGTTGGTAAAAAATGACTTTTGACTTTTTTGATTAATATTTATTTATGATGTCAAATCATAATAAAATGACCAAACTACTTTCATTTAGTTTAAAATATTTACAATTTCACTTATATAACATATTTTGACCATGAGGGGTAGAATTGTAATTTTACCATTAACTAAAAACCAACTTCCCAAATGAAAAAAAATTCAAAAAAAGTCAACTTTTAACTTTTGCTACAAATTCAAAAAAGTGGCTAAAAGCCAACTTCCCAAAACAAGCCATAGCTCTAAATGGAGCTTTAGCCTGTGTTTGGCAAGTGGGTTTGCAGGTTTTTTTGGCTATTTTAGTCACAAAAAACAAAATAGGCTATTTTAGCCATAACAAACAAAACATCACATCCAACCCATAATCATTACATTCTTCTCTCACAAAAAAACTTAAAAAAGCCAAAAAGTCAAAAAGCCCTTCCCAAACCAAGCTTTTAAGCCTAGGCTAAAATAGCCAAAAAAACCAAAAAGCCAAAAAGTCAACCCACTTCCCAAACGGAGGCTTAATGAGGTGAAAGAGAGAAAGAGAAAGGAATGTAAGCCCCATTTTCACATGAATACTGTCAAATTAAAACTCTCAAACATTATTATTTTTAAAATCACACTGCACTCTCCTATTATAGAAAATTTTATAACACTCTCGTCCAATTGTTAGTCTACCGTTTATAAATTGGATGGGAAGGCATAACATCAGCAAAAATAATGTTGAAAATGCTAATCAACTTACAACAATGATTCATCCCCCTTTTCCTCCCACCCCCTTTGACCCCCTCTCTCTCTCTCATTGGTTACATTTTCTTTTTCTTTTTCTTTTTTTTCCTGCTCCTCCAATCACCCCCCGCCACATGGCAAAGGGGGTGAGGGGGTGACCCCCAAAAGGGGGTCCCAAGCATTATTCATCAACTTATTTAGTTTGGATTTTTAGGATTCACTTTTTAAAAAATAATTTTTTTTTAGTTTTTAGATACACTTAAGATAAATATATTTAAAGAGTATAATATTTGTGAAAAAATATTTTAAAAATTCACTAAATACCAAAAATATTTAAAAAAATATATGAGAATTCAGTATATTTTTCGCATTCTTGTATATTTATTAATTTTTTAAATATCTTTTTACAAATATTTTATTTTTTAGACACATCTAAGTAAGTTGCATATAAAAAAATAAAAATAAAAATAAAAAATTACTTAAAAATTTAAAAAATTCACTAAAAATAAAAAAAATACAAAAAATAAATAATTCAATTTTCAAAAAATTAAAACCAAATATATTGAATAATGCCCTCTCGTTTTCTTTCCCCATCTCTCTTTGTGGTTCTAACTTTGTTCTTTTCTACCATAGTGAATATTGATTCTATATATAATATATTTTTTATTATTTTTTTGTGAACCAAATGCAAAGAGAAATTAGGAATGGCCATTTTAGTTCCAATTCGTGAAGGCCCGTCCATACTTGTTCAAATGGAGTAGATTTTATCCGACCTGATACTTGTGTGGGGTTAATAATATATAAATAAATAATATATGTATATATATAATATAATTAGATATAAGAAATGAATACTAAAAGTCTGTAGTTCTGTTTAAATATAAATAAATAATAATCCTAAAAGTCTCACTGTTCATATATATGAAAATAAGAGAAATTATTTAATGTGTTAAGGATTTAAATAATTCTCAAATTTTTTTGATTGTTTGAAATGTGGTCAGGTATCCGTGGGAGCGGGAATGAGATTGAAAAATTTCACCTATAACAGGGTTGGGGCGGAGGAGGAGTGGGGTTTGAAAGCGAGGTTGGGACCGGGGCGGAGGATGACAACCCTGTCCCGTGGCCATCCCTAGGAGGAACATTATAATGAATTGATTATTCCATTTCATTTTAGTGAATCAAACAAAATAAATAAAATAAGTTGAATGACTGATTATTCCATTGCATATCCAAGTTATACATGCAACTATGTTAGGAATTAGAATTACAAATGAGACGAACCGAGCCAACTTTTAGTATGTTTGAACATGTTTATTAAGATTTTAGCGAGTTCGAATTTGAGCTCGAACTCAATAAAAATTTAATGAACGAGCTTGAGCCGAGTTGGCTCAGGCTTGACTCGAGTTCGAACTTGTTCACAAGCCTTAATGAGCAAAAAAAATTATAAATTTATACTTGCTTATGAGACTAAAATTACAACTAAATTTTGATTATACAATTATATATATAAACATACTAAAAAAAAGTCAATATTTCACTAAAATAATATGTACTACTATTATTATATAAATGTATTATTTATAGTTAGCTATTATTTACATTTATATTTTTTAAATATATAAATAACATAATTATCTTATTTTTTATACATATTTTTATATTATTTAATATATAAATAATAAATGTTAAATGACCCAGCTAATGAGCTGAACTTTAATATGTTTGGATTTGTTTATTAAAATTTTAACGAACTCGATATTGAACTTGAATGCAAAAAGAATTTAATGAACCGAGTTCGAACGAGCTCTTAAATAAATCCAAATTTAAATAAATTTGATTCTATTTATTTTATTTAAACACACATTTTACACAACAATCTTAAAAAAGATTCTATGGGTGTTTCAAAGGAAATTAGAAAGAAACAGATTCCCTTTTGCAAATTAGTCAGATTAATTTTCTTAAAGAGAATTGTAGATTTTACATACTTGTTCTTTGTTTTTAATAAATTAAAAATGTAGAGCAAGTTGTGTTTTACGTTTTTAGTCTTGTTGCATGCCTATTGCTTCCTAGTATTTTTTGGTATGACTCTTGGGAATCTAAATTATTTTAATTACTTGGAATTATTAGTTGAATAAAGCTTTGGACCCCCAGTGGGGGTACTGGGGTCACCTCCCATTGGTCCAAAAAAAACAATTTTTTTTTTTTTTTTGAGTTTTCAGCCAACCCCAGGCCGACACGTGGCACTGGGGGGTCACTGGGGGTCACCCCCACTGGGGGTCTGTAGCATTGCTGTTATTAGTTTATGTCCATTAGTTATTTGTTTAGTAACTGCTCTAACATTTTATCTTTTAGTTAATTTATATTTTGTTATTGCATAAGGTTGCTAGAAGTTGGTTGGCAAAAAAAGGAATTTGATTGCATAAGCCTTTACAGTTTTACATATTATTTGTTTTATGACTTCTTGTGTTTTTTTTTGGGTAACTTTTTGCACAGGTATACTTATGCGAATGGAAATGAAAAAATAAGAACAAAACAAAACAAATATAAATTGGGACTTTAAAACAACTTGGTATACTAATCTTTTTGGTTGAATATAAATACCTAAGCGTTGAGAGAAAG